CTCTGGGTGCTTTGTAAACATTCGGGAACATTGCTCAAGTTTTTAAATCCATGCTTGATGTCAGGAATCTTCATAAAAGTTCCAGGACCTGCCCTTAAGTACAGGGCACTTCGTCAATGCTATAGTTTAGGGAACTCCGTAGAAGTTCAGGAGACATTGCAGAACTCCAGGAAACTTCTCAGAAACTCTCTACAGATCTTATAAGTTCAGGAAACTTCAAAAATGTGCAGTAAACTTTGTAGAAGTTTCGGATTTTGAGGAACTCCGTAAAAATAAATAGAAGTTCTGGAAATTTTGTACAAGATCAGAGAGCTTCGTAAAATTTTGAAAAACTTTGTAGAAATTCGGAAAACTTTGTAGAAGGTCTGAAAATTTCGTAGAACCTCAGGAAATATCGTAGAAGTTCATCAGTTAAGGGAGCTCCGTAGAAACTCTGGGCGCTTCGTAAAAATTCGGGAACTTTGCTCAAGTTTGTAAATCCATGCTTGATGTCAGGAAACTTCATAAAAGTTCCGGGACCTGCCTTTAAGTGCAGGGCACTTCGTGAATGCTATAGTTTAGGGAACTCCGTAGATGTTCAGGAAACATTGAAGAACTTCAGGAAATTTCTCAGAAAATCTTCAAAATTCTTATAAGTTCAGGAAACTTTCCAAAAGTGTAGTAAATTTTGTAGATGTTTCGCAATTCGAGGAAATTCGTAAAACTAAATAGAAGTACTGGAAATCTTGTAAAAGTTCAGAGAACATCGTCAAATTTCGGCAAGCTTTGTAGAAGTTTGGAAAACTTTGTAGAAATTCATCAGTTAAGGGAACTTTGTAGCTTTAGGATTATCATTTCACCAACATGTCCAGGAAAATTCTTAGAAAAGGTTCAGGTTCTTTCCGAAAATTTGAAGAAGTTGATGGATGTTCTGGAACGGAAAAAATATGGATCTTAAGATACTCAAAGAACTTTGTTGATGCTCAGAATATTGTTTAGAAGTTATGGAAACTTTGTAGATATTCACGGAACATTATATGTGTGTGGGGTCGTTATTATTATTTGACAGTTCGCATGATTACAGCTGTAATCCTCTGCTTATTTACATTTGGTCCCACCCTATATATATACCGTAGCCATGCTACACAGCCCTACTCAACTCTATACAACTTGTGCCTTGCCCGCCTCGCTGTTCGCCCAACCCGCATCCGCTCACTTGACCGCGCAGCACTGAGCTCCGGCCTCTTTCGTATCTTGGTAGCTGTGAAGGTAAGACGTGCGTCCCGTCGTGAAGGGGAAAACCTAGGGCAAAATGGCTGGTCTCCGACAGCGTAAATTGCACATTGGCGATCCTGCCAGGCTGCTGAATATTCAGCAGAAAAGAATTAATTTGATTTAATCATTTTTATTGTCGGAAATCAGCCATTCTGTTGTAATTGTGTTCACTGGAAATTTGTTTTTGTGAGTGATTTTTTTTTTCAATGGTCGAAAAGTGAAATTTATCAACGCTACAGAAGAAGGGAAAACGGTCTAGTTTACGGAAGAATCGATTTCGCTATTTTCCTGCTGTGACGAAAAAGTGATGAAAGAAGCGTGTTTGAGCCGCAAAATAGGTGAAGTGCGTACTTGCAGAACCGAAGCATGATAATGGAGCTTGTGTTTTTTTTTCGATTTTTCTCGGTTGCTTTTCCCTTCGAGATTAACAGTACTCTAAAAATCGCGCGAATCAACCTAAAGTGATGTTTGCACATATGTAACTACCGGTAGTGGCTAAACGGTGACTTGGCAGCGGATCGAGACGACCGCGTTTGTATGATCTGGTAGCGGGTCGAGACGTCCGCGATGGGCTACTTTAGTAGCAAATTAAGTTTTCGGTAGCGGATCGGGACGACCGCGATTAATATTTCTGGAAGGATTAATTGGAAAGCGGATCGGGACGACCGCGTAATATGAATTTGGTAGCGGATCGAGACGACCGCGCAAGGAAAACATGGTAGCGGATCGAGACGACCGCGCGGAAAAAAATATGGTTGTGATTCAGACAATCGCTAGATAAATTAACACAGGAGATTCTGAAATCGGATTTTTGTGGCAGTTACATTTTCCCATTGGAACCAAAGCATATGCAGAGTTTAAACATTGCATTGAATCAGAATTTTACAATCTTCCCAAAACTTTTTCTTACAGATTAACGTGTGAATCATTAGCGAAGATTGTATCAATCAAAATGTCTGGAGGAAAATACGTACGCACTCCCGGTTATCAGAGTGATCTGGAAGAGATCGACGAGCATATCGATGATATGTTGGCCTACGAGTCAGATAGCGAAGGACAGGAAGGAAAGCAATTGGATACGGATGGATATGAGAATGGCGAAGATAGTTCTTGCTCCGAGGAAGCTAGCGATGTTGAGAAGTCGATTTTCGAGGTCGGTGGTGAAGAAGATCACGATGCAGCCAAATCCGGCAGCAGCGTCGGAGGAAATGCGAGCACAGGACGTCCATCAATGCGAAACGAGAATGAAGATTACTACCAACGAATGGAGCAACTGGAGAATCGACTGAACCAGCTGGTGAGAGCTCTAGATTCCAATCAACCACTCGGTGGAACCAACACGGTGGAACCGGTACCATGCGAGGTTGACCATAGCTGGAATACCGGCAATGTAAACGTGGGAGCATCAACCAGTGCAACCAATGTTCGTTGGGAAAACATTCAGCCATTCCCTAACGATGTTCCGGCCAACAGGATGTGGGAGCAGTGGACGCGATTTATCGACCGATTTGAGATCGCTGCATCCCTTTCTAACATCAACGACCCGGTGAAGCGTGCACAGATCCTGTTCCTCTCGATGGGGGAAAAATTGCAAGGAATAGCCAGAGCAGCTAGACTTCGGCCAAGCTTGGAGGAACCCGACTGCTACAACATTTTCGTGAAGAATATTGCAACTTACCTACGTTCAATGGTGGACGTAACAGCCGAACACGAAGCGTTCACTAACCTGAAACAAGGACCGGAGGAACCGACGATCACTTTTCATGCCCGCTTGATGGAGAAAGTCCGTCTCTGTGGATACAGTAGCGTCGATCAGGATCGGTTCGTTCGCGCACAGTTGTTGAAGGGGATGCGGAACAAAGAGTTGGTGAAGGCGGCCAGGACTTTTGGATATGAGACCCTTTTCATCGTCCAATCCGCCACCCGCGAAGAAGCATATACGGCCGAAACAGCTCAAGCGGAGCCTTCACATGCTCTTGCGGTGAGTCGGAATCATCCACGGACATCTGGTGAAACACAACAATGGAAGCGGAAGCACGAATCAACGGCCGATAAGTGGAAGCATGCGAAGAAGCGCGAGACGGATGAGATTAGGAATCGAGGATTAGGACGGCGGTCGCGTTGCCCGAAGTGCAACCGTCTTTTCCATAAATTTGGATCGTGCCCGGCAATTAACAGCAACTGCAATACTTGTGGCGAGCGGGGGCATTTCGCTATAGTATGTCGGAGAAAGAATGCCAACCATCGCCAAGTTGAACGAAAGCTCGCGTCCAGATGGGAAAGTGACGAAGAAGACAGAAAGGTATAACCTCGTGAGAATTAATATTGAGTTTTGTCTCCTATTTTTTTTTTTCTCTTTTTTTTCTCAACAATTACTGAATACAATGTGACATTTCTGAAATCATAAAAGTGTTTTTTTATTGACATTGCACTTCCAGGAAATAAACACGATCTCGCTGGCAGACACACTCATCGATTGCCTGGTAGGATCCTCATATCCGATTCGGTTTTTGATAGATTCGGGGTCAGACGTGAACACGATTGGTGGAGATGACTGGGTGTACCTGAGACAAGAGCTTGAGACAGGTAAAGCAAAACTGGAGCTCGTTCCAGTGTCAAACGGTAATGACCTGATATCTTACGCGTCCTGCAAACCGATTTCTGTACAATGCGCATTCAAAGCTGAAATCGAGGTAGTGGGGTGTGACAAACCATCGATTATGGCTATGTTTTATGACGTTCATCAAGGCTCTCGTTCTCTATTGGGTCGTTCTACGGCAAGTGATCTAAGGCTGCTACAAGTAGGTGCAAGTGTCAATCGATGTGAGAAAATGGAGCAAATTACAAAGTTTCCCAAAGTACCGGATGTTCTGGTGAAATTCAGCGTTGATCCATCCGTACCGCCGACTAAAAACGCGTACTACAATGTCCCTGCAGCCTATAGGGAAAGCGCAAGGACCAGGCTTTCGGATATGGAAGATCGTGGCATCATTGAGCGTGTGACATCGGCCCCCGACTGGATTAGCGGTATGTCGGCAGTGGCGAAGGGTAAAAATGATTTCCGGTTGGTCATTAACATGCGGGCACCCAACCGCGCAATTAAAAGGGAATACTATCGCTTGCCTACGCTGGATGAGATGAGAATTAAACTACACGGGGCAAAGTACTTCTCGAAACTGGATTTGTCAAATGCGTTTTACCATTTGGAACTCCATGAGGATCAAATTGTTCAAATTGTTCGATGTGCTACGTCTCTTGGCTACTTTTCGGAACAAGACAGAACTATCCTATATACGGACGCCTCTCCTTACGCCTTAGGAGCGGTACTCATCCAAGAAGACAACAGGAAGCCCCCACGGATTATAAGTTTCGCATCGAAAGCCTTGACAACGACTGAGAAAAAGTATCCTCAAAACCAGCGCGAAGCTCTTGCCGCTGTTTGGGCAGTGGAGCATTTTGCGTATTTCCTACTAGGACGACCCTTTACTATCCGCACCGATGCGCAAGGTTTTACGTTTATATTAAACAGATCACGTGAGGATTCTAAGCGAGCATTGAATCGGGCAGATGGATGGGCTCTCAGACTCAGTCCATATAGTTTTAATGTTGAATATGTTCGAGGACGAGAGAACATAGCGGATCCATCATCTCGGCTCTATGACGAGGAAGATGAACCATTCGAAGAAGGTGTTAGTCCTTGGGAGCTTGCTTCTCTTGAAGTGAATAAAGTCGGATTTTTGACCGAGATGGAGATTGAAAATGCCACAAGCCAGGATAAGCAGCTTACGGAGGTGGTAGATGCTCTGGAAACGGACGTTTGGCCAGCGCATCTAAAGCAATTTCAAGTGCTAGGCAGCGACTTGACCATGCGCGATGGAATGCTGAGCAAAATGGGTTGTGCAGTGATACCCGAATGCCTACGCCAGAAAACCCTGGCGGTTGCTCACGAGGGCCATCCATCGACAGCAAAATTTAAGAGCATTTTGAGAGAGCGTGTTTGGTGGCCCGGTATGACGAAGGATGCAGAGGCATGGGTGACATCATGTGCCGTTTGTGCAATCAACGGCAGGCCCGAACGGCCCACTCCCATGGCTCGAGTTTTCACACCAAAAGCGGTGTGGGAGACCATTGGCTTGGAATTCAACGGCCCCTATGCGAAATTCGGAGGTATCTCGATTCTAGTCATTGTGGATTATCGTTCTAGATATGTGATCGCCAAGCCCGTGAGATCTACGAGCTTCGAGCATACCCGAAAATTTTTGGAAGAAGTCTTTGAGAAGGAAGGCTATCCGAAGAACATGAAATCGGACAATGGCCCCCCCCTTTAATGGGGATGACTACAGGGAGTACTGCCTGAAGCGTGGCATCAATGCCACCTTTTCCACGCCGTTATATCCCCAACAAAACGGCTTAGCAGAGAGTTGCATGAAGTTGGTGAATAAGGCAATGAGTGCTGCATCGGCAAGCGGAAAAAGCTATGGAGAAGAATTGACTGCAGCGGTTCATGCTTATAACGCAGCTGCCCACTCCGTGACGGGCGTACCACCGGAGGAAGTGATGACGGGTCGGATGATCAAACGTGGGCTTCCTCTGCTGTGCCGTGGAAAGGCCACCTTCGACGACAACCTGCTCAACGCAAAGGATATGAAATTAAAAATCGAGGCGAAGATACGAGAAGACACAAAACGAGGGGCTCGTCGATGCCGTATTAAACTCGGAGACACGGTTGTTGTAGAGCGTCAGTCTCGATCAAAAGGAGAATCGCGGTTTGATCCCCGCAAGTATACGGTTACAGATGAACGAAACGGAATGCTTGTTTTGACCGATGAAAACGGCCCGATTTTGAAGAGACACGTGTCACAGACGAAGCAAGTCTACGACTGAAAGGATCCTGAAGAAGTCGTTCGCTCGGAATATCCCAAAGATTGCCGCATTGCTCAGGAAGTTATTCCAGCTTCTTCGCAGACAGAAAGCCCACAACCTGGCTTGACTGAGCGTCCGGTTCGAGCAAGAAGAATGCCGGAGTATTTGAAGAACTACGTAAGTGTTTTGGAAGAAGAATAAGGATAACACTGACTTTGTTTGTTTTTGTTTGATCTTTGCTGAATAAATGAGGAAAAGTCTGTTAGTTTTTCGAATGTTTTTGCTTCCATCCCTGGATTTACCTTTTTTTTTTGGAAGAGGGGTGATGTGTGGGGTCGTTATTATTATTTGACAGTTCGCATGATTACAGCTGTAATCCTCTGCTTATTTACATTTGGTCCCACCCTATATATATACCGTAGCCATGCTACACAGCCCTACTCAACTCTATACAACTTGTGCCTTGCCCGCCTCGCTGTTCGCCCAACCCGCATCCGCTCACTTGACCGCGCAGCACTGAGCTCCGGCCTCTTTCGTATCTTGGCAGCTGTGAAGGTAAGACGTGCGTCCCGTCGTGAAGGGGAAAACCTAGGGCAAAATGGCTGGTCTCCGACAGCGTAAATTGCACAATATGAATTATAATAAATTCGTACAAGTTCAGCAAACTTGATTGATATTCAGTTTAATTTATCAAAAATTAAAAGTTGTAAGCTATGAAAAAAATTGTGAAGTACTGGGACCTTCATAGAAGCTGACGGAATTTCCCAGAAGTTCGTCGAACTTTCCACATGTTTAGGGAATTTTATAGAGGCTCAGGGAACATCAGATATGCTCAACCAATTCATTGGAAAGACGTTCAGAGAGATTTTTTTTTCTTCCTTCTAATTCATGGAACTGAGATTAAGTTCAAGAAACTTCGTAGAAGTTCAGGAAGCATCGTATAATTTTAGAGAACTATCTAGATATTCACGGATTTTCAATGAGGTAGCGGAAATTGCTCTAATGTTCGCCTGTGGATCTAAATATTGGGCTCATCAATAAAAATATCATTTTCTTCAATTTCTCTTAGCATAATGCGTCATCTGGGCAATACAAATCTAGCGTTCAGAACCATAAGAGCCTAACTGCGATGTTCGATTATCTACATCGATTTTCTTTTTGCAATCAAGTGGTCAAAATTTTCGAAATGTTTCTAATACAATTTAGTAACAGGTTGTTTTATCTCAAATGATTGATGAGAGTTTTAGTAGAATAAATGTATATCTTATTAGGTGGATTTTTTTTTAATAGTAGTATAATTAAAAGGAAAAAAAAAACGTGAAAAGGTATAGGATGTTTAAGTTGGGAAAATCTACATCACACGCATCGAGAAATGGTAATAGAATCGAGTTATTAACAAAAGAGAAACTAGATTAAGAAAATCGATCGTTGCAGTTAGGCGCTTATTATTCTGAACGTTAGAAATTGATTTTTTTTTATTGCTAGTGAAAAATTATCAAAACATGATTTCCTTCGAAATTATTGCAACAATGCGGACATTAACCCAATTAATAAAGTTCACTGGATATTTTACCAGACTTTTCGAGTCATTCAAGTAATGTTCTGAAGATTATTTTTTTTAAATTAATGTATTTTATAAGGCTCAATTGAATTAACTTTACAGAGCCGATGATTCTTGTTCACTACACAAAACATTCTAAAACTATAGTCAAAAGGTGCAACACAATTAACACTTTATCTTCCGCTATCCAATAAGTTCCAGTGGTTTCATTGTATGGCAGTATCGCCAAACGGATAGAGCGCTTCCATTGCAGCAATGGATGCAAAACGTGGCCGTGGACGACGATGCATCGATCGAAAGAACGGGCGATGAAGAACAATGAGGAGGACCACACTATGGTTGCTGCCGAGTAAACAGACGATCGCGTGACACACATCGAGAGTGACCTGCTTCTGGCGACAGCTGAGTCAACACTTTTCTGAATATCTGCAACTGTTCAAACATTCAAATGGCGTCTTACAGCCAGAGACTGATTCATCTCTTCTCATCTTATCATGATTTAACTAAAACCCTCAGGATATGTTTTAAGTCTTCAGGTTGATCAATTATTATTCTTCAACAATGTAAATGTTCGGAAGGGAAGTAAAGCCGTTGGTCCCGGCCCATGTGTGTTGAATGGGTGCAATATCCTACGCAGGTGTGGAAGCTGCCTTCCTGCACATTCGACTGCCGTCAATGGATGGCAATCGATGTCCGTCGGTGATTGGCACTAGATTGCGGAACAGAGACCGACGTTAAGTAAAGGAAAAGAACAATGTAAATGACGTCTCCAAATAGTCTCTCAAGATTGATGGAAGATCTCCTGATCATGAACGTCAACAATGTCTTATGGGTAATTTTTCAAAACTTCAGGTTGATCAATATGTGAAGATCTTAAACTGTCCAAAAATTCAATTGGACCTCTCAATATGGCAGGTCTATCAGAAAGTACTAAAAAGATCCACAGCTCCAGATCAAAGATTTCAACTAAGTCCTCCGGATGTTTTTCAAGGATTCAGGTTGATCAAGTATTATTGTGCAGATATTCTCCCAAAAAGACACGGTGATGAAGAAGTATTCCGAAGATCTTCAGCAAATCGAAGATGTGGATGTTTAGGTTGATCAAGTATAAATCAGAAATATAACCGATTTTGGTTCATTACTCAAATTTGGAATTTTCAAGAAGGAGCTTAAAATATGAAGTCAAAATCTCCATTTATTTATTAAGAATCTGAAAATGCTTGCTTAAAATTCAAAAATTCCTTCGGAATCAGTTTTAGCACGTCATCAAAGAACTTCACAAAACACGAAATGTCCAATATAAAAAATACCTCTTCAGAATGTTTTAAATGTCTTCAAAATAATGACATGTCTTGTAGTCAGGTGTAAGCAAAAACAATGGCCACTAGGCCACCCAACCTCTAGTGGCGACCGTTTTTGCTTAGTCAAAAGAGGAACATGGGGTCTATCGCAGGCCTATCTATATTACAAAGTTGATTTGATAGCATCAATATGTTTTTCTCTGTAGGACGTTAAAAAAAAAGCTTTCTTCAATACCAGGGACACCAGGAGATGAACGGTGCATAAAAACATCAAACATACATTTCAGAACATCAATAATAAAATTAGAAACAAGCTCTAATATCATCAACATTTATTGACGTCAATTGTTCGCCTTGTTCGCCTTGTTTACGTTCGTGTTTTACCATGGAATTTGTGTGTGTAAATCTGGTTTTTAGTGTTCAAGATTGTGCGTAAACAATACTATTTTCGACAATCTCTCCGAAACGTGTGGAATATCGATAAATTTCGTGCTGTCGTTTGCTGTAATCAACACGTCATCCTCGCATCATCGAATCCCGACCCGTCTCCATCTTTTCACTGTGCAGCTCCGTCAAAGCAGAATGGACCAAAAACAATGCGGAGAATGTCAGCTCGACGAGCTCGAGCCGCTGCGCTGTGGTTTTTGCGAAACATTCTACCACATCAGCCAGCAGTGTTGCGGTATTAATATCCGCAATCTGAAGGAACCATTATCAGCTGGAAAGATACTCTTCGTTTGCAATTCCTTTCGTGGGGTTCTACAGGGCCGCTCTATCCGCTGTTTCATCGACGATCAGCAGCAACATCAAATGCAACCCCCCTCGCTTGCTTCGTTGCCAGATCAGGTTCGGCAACTGCATGATGCCGTGGCTGAGCTAAGTAAAAAAGTCGACAATTTCTCTGCTAAGCCACAACGCGTCATTGAGTGCTACACCAGTTTGGCCCAAACCGGGTGCAAAACGCCGTCGTGAAGACCGGCCTGATATTGACGTGCCAACCGTAAATGGAACGAAAACAATTGACTTGAGTGGTCTTTCCGTTCCCTCTATTGCTCCTAGTGTACCTCCGGAGAAACTCTGGGTATATTTTTCTCGCCTGAACCCGCTCATCACCGATAACGACGTGCAGAGTATTGTGTCACGCTGCTTGAGCTTAACTGAACCTGTCGATGTGGTGCGTTTGGTTCCCAGAGGAAAAGTCGTATCCAGTATGACATTTGTGTCATTCAAGATCGGTTTGGATCCTTGTTTGAAAGATGCTGCACTCGATCCGGATTCCTGGCCTGCCGGATTACAGTTTCGCGAGTTTATTGATTCGGCAAAAAACTAGCGTGCTACGTTTCTCCAGCTGTTGACACCATCGCCACAACTTCATCGGATCCGGGACACCCTAAAACAGGCACTAAGGAAGCTCCCGAGCCCCCCGACCCAGTCGCGCTTGCTGCTGACATTCGCCATCGTCATCGTCCCGGTCCTGTGGTCGGTGGTGGTATCGGGGGCTTCCGGCCTGCAACTCCAGGCGAGTATAATTGCGATTTCGAACTTTCGGTACCTGATTTCCCTTCAACTTCCAGTTCGCGTAGTGGCATCTTGAGTGGTCTCC